AAAAAAAAAAAAAAAAAAAAGAACAGAGATGTCACTGCACCTGTTGAAGGTGTCTCAGCAACACCTAGAGTTTTTTTTAGACAAAGTCAACAGCTTGGCCAGACTACATACTTTGTTTAAAAGTATAGTTAGGTCTAAAATCATTACAGTTTTTCACTTAATAATTTGGGCATTATTAAATCTTTGTGAAAGCTCATAGTAAAAAAAGGATCTGAGTAGGAGAGATTTTTTTATTCCCTGTAAAAGGCATATAGCCAACTCTCAGTTATTTAGGGTAAAAGAAAAAACAAAACTTGCTAAACACATGAAATCAAAGGTAATAAATGGTGGAGATTAAGTCTGAAGAGCATGCAAAATGGTTCACTTAAATGGGTGGTTACTGGGACTTCCCTGGTGGCACAATGGTTAAGAATCTGCCTGTCAATGCATGGAACACGGGTTTGATCCCTGGTCCAGGAAGGTCCCACATGCTGTGGAGCAACTAAGCCCGTGTGCCACAACTACTGAGCCTGCGCTCTAGAGCCCATGAGCCACAACTACCGAAGCCCGTGCGCCTAGAGCCTGTGCTCCGCAACAAGAGAAGCCACGGCAATAAGCCCACCCACTGCAACCAAGAGTAGCCCCTGCTCGCTGCAAATAGAGAAAGCCTGTGGGCAGCAATGAAGACCCACTGCAGCGCCCCCGCCCCCAAATGATGGTTACTGTAAATTAGAAACTGGCCTGGGTATAAAGGATACCCAGGATAGTGAGAAGTTCCTATATGCAATGCAGAATCGTCTGAATGGTATATAAACACCACTCACTACAAATCTTCCAACCAATGAGGAAACGGCTATTCTTGATACATTTAATTTTTATTATGTTTCCTTTCATCTTGTACTGCTTTGTCCATATTGTAAAAAGTAATTTCTCATTTTAAAAAATGAACAAAAGAGAGTCTGCCATTTCAAGGAAGACAATCGGCAGTATTTACTGCCAATTATCAATTATAATTTCAGCTTCCATGCAAAAAACAGAATTTTGGGAATATCCACCTCCATGAGTTGATAGCTTACTATAAACTTTTCTCATAAAAGTGGTGATACTAATGAATGTGATTTTTTAATATTGTATAAAATGCATCAACATTTGGAGGATGGGAATTATTTGGTGAACCAATATTTTTCAAATGACCAATGCATGTTACCAAATCGGTAAAAAGATTCATTCAAAGTGAAAGCAGATCAATGGGTTTTAAGGTAATCAAGTATAAAACATTCACTGACATGGTTTCAGATTCCTCATTGCAACTAACTTTTAAGAAATTGCCACTTGTTGTAACATCAAAGAAGAATATCCACAATTACCTGAACAAGCTATTAAAATACTCCTCCTTTCTCCAAGTACATATTGCAAAAGATTGAATGTAGAATAGATATGAAAATAAGAAATACATATAAAAATTATTAAGCCAGAAGTTAGAGATTTGCAAAAATATAAAACAATGCCATTCTTTTTTTTTTTGGCCGTGCTTGTGGGATCTTAGTTCCCCCCGGCCAGGGATTGAACCCAGTCAGTGAACGCACCAAGTCCTAACCACTGGACTGCCAGGTAATTCCCAAACAATGTCATTCTTCTCACGATTTCTTTAACTTGGAAGTTATTTACTTTCATAAAGTTTTGTTATTTATGTTAACATGTAATGGATTTATTATTGTATTTTAATTAACATTTAACAATTAATTTCAAAACAGTAAATAGCAATAGATACAGCAGATTGGAGTCCTTAATAATTTTTAAGAATATTAAAATCTGAAAACCAAAAATTTTGAGAATCATCTAGCCACTATGTGATTTAGATTTATTTTATTTAATATTCCAATCTATATCATAGAATATTGTGCTCAAACATGGGTATCCAGGAGACCACTAGGGGAGATTGTTCAACATGAATATATAGTCTAGGCCCTGTGACTGGACTGGAGCAGAGGATGAATTTTAATAGTGTGAAAGTCTATAACCTGATCTAAGTTTTTACAACTTAAGAAAATGTTACAGAAAAAATGATAGCATACCCTTCTTACAGAAAACTTATATTTGCATTCCTCCATGGTTATCTTTCTTTTAAAATATCAAACCTGCCTTTCAATTTAGGTATTACTATTTATTTATTTATTTATGGCTGTGTTGGGTCTTCGTTGCTGTACCCGGGCTTTCTCTAGTCGCGGCGAGCGGGGGCTACTCTTCCTTGCGGTGCTCGGGTTTCTCACTGCAGTGGCTTCTCTTGTTGCGGAGCACGGGCTCTAGGCACGCGGGCTCAGTAGTTGTGGCTTGCGGGCTCTAGAGTGCAGGCTCAGTAGTTGTGGCACACCGGCTTAGTTGCTCCGCGGCATGTGGGATCTTCCCGGGCCAGGGTTCGAAACCCGTGTCCCGTGCACTGGCAGGTGGATTCTTAACCACTGCTACACCAGGGAAGTCCCTACTAATAGTTTTTGGTTTTGGTTGCACCCATGCCCGCCGTTGTGGAAGCGCAGTCTTAACCACTGGACTGCCAGGAAGTCCCAACTAATAGTTTAAAACAAGAACAAACATTGTTAATCAACTATACTCCAATATAAAATAAAAAGTTAAAAAACAAAGAAAAAAACAAAAAATTAACCGATAGAAACAGTGAAAAAAATAAGAAGAAAATTTTAGGTGGTTCATTAGTAGAAATGACTCTCACATTTTCTCAAATTATACTATATATAAAAAGTATATCACCAAGACCCAAACACCTCTACTGGGAATTCCCTGGCGGTCCAGTGGTTAGGACTTGGTGCTTTCACTGCCGGGGCCAGGGTTCAATCCCTGGCTGGGGAACTAAGATCCCACCAGCGCACAAAGCGTGGCCAAAAAAAAAAAAAAAAGGAAAGTCATAGAATGTCCTTTTCCCGAGATGTTTTAAAAAGAGAGATGAGAGAGGAAAGTCCTCCTGGGAAGGGGGAGTAGAATAAGATGATGTCAAGTGGCTCAAGGAAATCTGTGAGAATAGGAGAAAGCTAACGGGAAGGAGAAATGGAAGCGAAGAATCCAAGATCTGACGACATTTTTTTTTTTTTCTATTGCACACGTACCCACTGGGCCGCCAGCTGTACAAACAGCTGTGCAAGAACTGGAGGCGGGGCCCTTACTGCTCTTGCTCAGATTACTGAGCTCACTAATAATCTTTAGGCTATTACTGGGGTCAGAGAATCAGAGTCTCCGTTTTCTCCTGTATCACGACTCCTCCCGTGCCTCACAACGATGTTCTGTCTTTCTGGAAGAAGGAGCAGGGAGCCACGGTCTCAGCCCAGGGGGTAGCCCCCGGTCCGGGCTCCGCGCTGCCCCCTAGTGGTCACCTCTGTGGCCTTGGCTTCCCTCGGTCCAGTTCCCCAGCCCCAGATCTTACACCCACCCCATTCTTCACCTCCTCCCAGTCCCCTCCCCTTCCTCCCGGCAGCATCCCCTTCCTCTCCTTCCCCCAGCCACCCCGGCTCTGGTGAAGGGGCACCGCTCCGTCTGCACCCAGAAGTCCGGGGCTGGGCTGGGAAGCGGTGCAACTTTTACAAGGCAGCCTCCCTCCCAGCCGTGACACCCCCCGATTCCACGCATCTCTTCTTCCCCCTCACCTCCTCGTCCGGGACGTTGCCGGCTGTGTTTTCACCGAGCCCGCCAGTTTGGTCCTGTTTCCTTCTCTAGTTAAGACTCCCTGTCACTGACGGTTACTTTTTGACCTTTTCACATATGCATATTTTGGGGGCCTTTAACCCCCCCCTCGCGGAGAAATGGAGGCAGCAAAATGGCGGACCCGGAAGTGAAGACGGCGAATATAATTTCTGGCGGAGGAATCTATGAAGAAAAAATGATTAGAAAACCCACATTTGCATTCAAACAGAAGGGTGATGTACCCCAGAGCCTCATTTTCTATGCTCGGAAGGGCTTTGAGGTAAAATAGTGTGTATCCGAGACATTTTAGACAGGACTATTTAGCGAGGCGGAGTATTATCGATTACGTGTCTTATAGTTCCGGCAGGGGACGGACCCGATGGTTTGTTTTGGCGCCAAGAACCCCGCAAACCGCTGAGAAATCGGATTCTGCGTCGGTCCTGCTCTCTCTTGCTTGTTTTTAGGGGGCCACCCTTAGCGTTGATGAGAAAACCCTATTTCTCTGTCTCAACCTGGGGTGAAGATGTTTGGGACATTGCTGGCTTTGCTCATGAATTGAGCTCTGGTGCCGGACGGCCACATTTCCAGGTACAGCCTTAATGTAAGGAGCCCAGAGCCAAGCTGTCAGCGCGAATATTGAAACAACGGAGTCATTTCTTTGTGGGGGGCCTGGAAGAGGATGGAGCATGAGTTTGCAAATCCATTTAAGTACTTTATTTACCAAACAGTTGATTCCCATCTCCACCCACCGTTCTTCTTGAACTAAAGGACAGCGAGAAGTCGGGAAGGAAGACCTTCAAAAATAAGTAAAAATAGAGGACATATCACTGCTCCACTCTTTATTCGATTTTGGCTTTTGTCGTTGATGGTGGGCCTTTCAAAGTCTACGGGGAAGATTTACATGATACCTCCTTCTCTGGATTTCTTTCTTTTTTTGTAATTTATTTTATTGAAGTATATAGTTGATAAATGATGTGTTAATTTCTGCTGTACAGCAGTGATCCAATTGTACATATATTCTTTTTTATTCTGGTTTATCACAGGATATTGAATATAGTTTCCTGTGCTATACAGTAGGACCTTGTTGTTTATCCATTCTATATATAATAGCTTGCATCTGCTAATCCCAAACTACTGATCCACCCCTTTTCTGAATTTCTCTAGATCCTGTTCATGTACTTTAAAGGGTTTACGGCATACTACCCAAATTGGTATTTGCAGCTTCCCTTTTTGAAGGTCAAAATCATTGTCTCATTCTTGTTTACAACCTCTGTTGTCCGACTCTGTCTCATACAGTAGGCACCCATAAACTACTTGTAAATTAATCCAAAGTTGTTTTTTTTTTTAATGAGTTATAAGTAAGCAGATAATGTATTTGGGTTAATTCATTTATTTTGTTAGGCACCCAGGCTGAGATAATGCAGTGCAGATTTAATGCCATAGGTGCCTTCTGAGGCATCTGGAATTGTTACCTCAAATACTGGTAGTCAGTGGGCAAGCACAAGAGTGGTTGGTTACAGCTTTCTCCCAAAATACTTTAAATAATTTTAAGCTGATTTCACCTTTGTTATCTATCTGTTCAACTTGAAATTCATCATTTTAATGTATAAAGGCTACTCAAACCCTTCCTCAAAGTTGAATATTAGGTAAAATATATAAGCTGAACTTGGAAGCAAGGCTAATTTTTGAGATCTATACTGCTTCCTTGTGAAGAGAGAAAACTAGAATCCAGTCCTGGGATTGAATGTCTTTATTAAAGAAGTGATTAAATGGCAGCACAAATCAGCAGCAATAATTTTAGAAGGAGTGGAGACAAGGTGTAGGGTCAGCGTTGATTGTTCATTTCATGGTATCAAGGTAGCTGAAGAACTGTGCCTGAGGCCCATTTGATCATTATTCTACATTGCAAATGCAGGAGGGCAAAACTAAAATACTAAGGACCAAACCCTAGGCCTTTTAGAAACTGAATAATACCCTACAAATTATCATAATAGTCAGCAGGATTGCATCTTAAGATTTGAAATCCCAGTGGTTTTCCTCAGCTAGAGTTTTCAGCCCACAGGAGCAAAATTGTAAAGTAAGCTTGAAGAAGGAAAACCCTTTTGAGAAAGCATAGCTATTTCTGAAATGATTCAGTGCTTTCCCCTATTGTCATCTCCCATGATGTATTATTTCCTCTTGTTTTAAACCTTTATCCCCAATTTCTCTGAGAAAAAGTGTATTACAGGAAGGAGGACCACCTTAGCCTTTTAGAAATCCTACAGTCTTATAGCAGATAATCTCAAACTGAAACTTACAGGGTTTTCATCAACCCTTGAAGAAATATTTGTGTTTACTGGCCTGGAGCAAGAAATTAGGAAGGTTTGAGCAATCTCTGAAGCTGATTAAAATGAAGTAAAAAAAATCAGTCCTCCATTTTGCACTCCATACTACTCTCTGGTGCCCTCATCAGGCCTGTTTTCTGGAATTAATATCTGGGGGGGAGGAAAGGAATCCCTGTGACCCAATACTCCATTGCTTGAACTCTTTACTTTGTGGCTTGAGGGTTTTTGAGAGAAACTGATAAGAAAGAAAGATAGATAAATAAATTAAATAAATAAATAAATAAATAAATAAATAAATCACAACTCTGGCAGATTCATCAGCACCACCTCAACACAATAGAGGGGAGAGAACAAGACTGATAGGATAAAAGGGTGGAAAGGAGGGGCTTGAAAGGGCAGGAAAGGAGGGCAAGGTGGTGGGAGAGAGGTCTTGGGCTTAGAGCAAGTCCAATTCGAAGGAGTGGATGCTGGCAATGGGAGCTCTCCAAAAGTTGAAGGTGCTGTACTCAAGGAGGGCATCGCCTTCCGGGTTTTTCTCCTGCTCTGCTCCGGTTGCTTGCCCCGTTGTTTTGCCAACGCTGCTGTCCTTGGTCTTGTAGGTGGATGTATCTGACAGACCCAGGCCTTCCAGCTCCGACAGATCCAGTTCTGGAATGGGCATCCTCCAGAAAAGAAAGGAGCTGTACTGGCTACTCACAGGGTCCCTCATAACTTCCTAGAAAGAAACCACTTATCAGTCTTCATGGTATTGCCACCTCTTTGTGGCCCATGGCCTTTCCTTACTGAGAAACTTTACATCCCCATTTGCCTCTGTACATAATTCAAGTTCCCTAGGACAAACTTCAGGAATCTTCCTCTATTACCATTTTCTACCATTTCCTAACTCCTCCCCGTCTTGGAATGACTTATTTACTGCCTACTGCTTGGGTCTGGTTTTCAAGGCCTTCCAGAATCTGGCCCCATTCTTCCTAGCAGTAGTACGTTCTCTGCTACAGCTATGCTTATTCCTGTCTTAACTCTCTCCACTCTCCAGCTTAAAATACTATCCAAGTTTCAAGACTCCATTCAGGTCCCTAGAGGAATCTTTCCCCTGAACTCTTATTATATTTCATATTCTTGATTTCTTCCTGCCCTTCGTTTAATAGGTCATGGTACCTCTGAAAAGGGTTTCCATGATTTTTCTACTTTCTATTTTCCTCCCTGCTTTCTAAACCCTACTGTAAACTCACCTTTTCCTGGAGGACATTCTTAAACTTACTTAGCTCCATCTACCCTATTTCTTCCAGTATCTCCCACAATGCCTGTAGAGTTTTACCTGACTATATCAGTTTGGGGTTACAGATCACTGTTATATGTCTTGTATAGGGATAATCTTATCTCCTTCAAGGAACTGAGAGTTTCCCCAAGGGTGAAAACCATGCTACTTTGTACCTTCTTCACAAGTGCTAGGCTTTAAACACAAAAGACACTCAAGGCTGCTGACTAATTTTCCCTTAGTATTTAATACAATGAATACCTTGCCACTCCCCTTTATAACCCCACAGATAAACCTTAACAGCCTATCTATTTCTCTCTAGCCTACCTCCCCTTCAGAACAAAATGCAGGTGTAAAAGAATTTTTCTATGCCATAAGAGGATCGCTTCTCTGACCCAGTGCTAGAATACACCTGATGATAGAGCAAATGGATTAGAAATTTCAGGTAAGGAAAGTAAAGTTTAGATTGGAAGGAGAAAGTCTTTTAACAGAATTAGATACTTTTCCATGTTTTAATGAGTACTTCTTTCACCTTTCCTGCCGGTTCCACCCACACCCTGAACTTAGACTATTATACCTCCCTGCAGCCCCCACCCTGCTGCTTACTAACCAAGGGAAGGGGCAAGAAGCAGTAGTTGAAATGTTCCCAAAGGAGCAGAAAGAACATTCCACTGCCTCCAAAAATAGAACCCCCATTTCACAAGGCCTTCCTCCAACAGAGTCCATTGGCTCTCACCAGACCTTGAGACACCTAAATAGTGGCCTTAAATAGATTCCACAATGCCCCCATATAATGTGGCAGAAAAAGTAGGCCTTAGTCTAGAATACAGTTATGTGTGAGTGTAGGGGCTTTAGGAATGGTAAGTGGGTAGACTAGGATGTTTTTAATGTTAGAGTTACTCTTTTTCTTCTTAGGTTCAAGCTCCAAAATAAACCCTGGGAGCTGAGCATTACGCAGCAGACAAGCTGCTTAAAAGGAGGGTAATTCGGGGACTGTAAAAGCGTGGGGGAGCATGTTGAAAAGGTGAGGTCATCATCCTATGATATTCAGCCCTGATCATCTCCACAGTAATTTGCAGAGTCATGTGCACAGAAAGCTACCAAAAATGTTGTGCCAACCCTGGCTTAGTCTAGGACTGTAGAGATTGTAAGAAGCAAACCTTAGGCGTCAGCAGCATTATTGACTTCTTCCCATGGGGATTTTTTTAAACTAACAGTACTAGTTGTTTGCCAATCTAGCTGGCTTCTTTTGTATCCCCTCCCTTACCAGTCCCCTCCAGAGTGAGCTTAGTATAATGCTGGGCACATAATAGGCTCTTTAAAAAACAGAATCATAGGGGGGAAAAAAAGCATAGAATTTTAAAACTAGAAAACACCTTAGAAATTATCCAGTCAGTTTGGATAGGGTCTCATAATTTCCAGTCTTGATTCTTTTTTGATGTGTTATACATAGATAGTTGCCTGCAGCTTTTTATAATCCTATACCAATATTCTCAAAACTTGCAAGAATTCTTAGTTCCTGAAGAACAGATATTCAGTGGGTTAAGTGTGATTCTGATATGAATGGTGAAAATGCAAAAGGCAGAAGAGAGGAAGATAGGATCTGAGAAAGGGAAAAAGCTCTTTGACAAACTGGCTCCTTTTCTTCAACCAGTATATGTATAAAAACAGTCCAGACAATTCTGAATGTCTGGCAGAGCTTCTCTTGCAATTAAAAAAGGTAACGGAACTTGTACAAAATATTAACTTAAAAGGTCCAAAATCTCTAGCCATGCCATTGATTCAGAGACACGTACAGAGTACCAAATGCATTTCGGAAAGGCACTCAATCAAGTATATACAGCATTTAAAATCAAGTCAAGAACATTGACTGCACCAAAAATTGACGCGAAAATACCCGAATATTTTAAATTTAATATAGTATGGATTTAATTCCCAAATACCCAAAATTTGCACAGGGTCCCATTTCAGCTAGCTTTCTCTTCCCCAAATATTTTCTACCCATAGCTCATCTATCTTCATATCTCTCATTTACTTATCTTAAAGGGCTTGGACAGTGCCTTGTACCACAATATATGCTCAATAAATGCTTCTCACTATCCTTCATTTTAAATTATTCAGGCATTTTAGGCAAAGGTAATTTCTAAATATCACAGTCTAGTCTTAGAGATACACAATTAGCAAATACATAGCATAAAGTGGCTCTCTCTGAGCCACACAGACACGCCCAGATACCCTTTGTCCATATCCTCAGTGGGACTCTAGGGCCTACCCAACAGGGCCTTGCTGTGTCATGCTGCCACTGTAGAGGGGAGGACAAGGGATGGTGGTGGAGGGGAATGGAACCTCTCTGGCGTCTCATTATATGTGTCTCATTCTGCTGCAAATAAGCATTCCTTTTCCAGAATCTGCCCCCATACCTAGCTCTTGTGGACTGTACTGATTTCAATATGGGATCAGGCAGTTCTCCAACAAAGAAGCCCCTACCTTCCTACCTCAAACTGCCTCTTTCTTTGGAGAAAAGGTTTGGGAACGGGAGGAGACTGTTAAAAGAAAGATCAGGATTAATCTCAATATTATCTCAATATTATCGCTTATCTCTCCCTCCAAACTCCTTCCTATGGAGACAAATAAGTTTGGGGTGAGGGTAGACACATCAATGGAACACAACAGAAAACATCTGAAGATACAGGGAAGTAGAGGCTAGAGTGGTACAGTAGGACTAGAGATTCATCAAAAAGCTGGGAGAACAAACTGACAGCTTGAAAAGGAAGATGTAGATTACTAAACTGAAGATAATAAAATTAATAATTTTATTATCTTCAGGACAATGTTATAGGCAAACTGACAATTGAAATGAGATAAATGCTGAGAAATAACTACATGTAAATTGTTAGAAATTAATATCTGTGTAAAGGATTATAAGGCATGGATGGAGATCTTAGCAAAGATGTAAAACGGTGAATAACTGCCTATTGTTCACAGCGCCGCCTTCGCTCCTCTTGAACTGTCCCCCAACCCCATCCTCATTTGGGGTCTTCAACCTAACTAGAAGCACCGACTATCTTTTCAGCCCCTTGCCGCCGCCCCAACCCCCCCGCCCCCCCGCCCCGGTTTCGTTTACCTGTTATCAGTGAATTACTAGCGTGTTCCAAAGATGGAGGGAGTACTTCGAGGGCTCCGATGTCTGCTCTGGGCTGGAGAACAAGAAAGCTGTTGGGGCTTTGACGGCTTTGTCTTCTCACTTCCTCTCTTGTTCAGTGACTGAGTCAGTCTGCTCAGTCTCCCCCTGCAATGCAGCCCCTCCTAAGAATGGCGGAAGGGCTCCCCGCCCCCTCCCGGCCTGACTCGGCTAATTCAAAAGATAGGTTCCAGAACACTTGAGGGAGGGAGACAGGACTAAAGCATCTCCGTAGGCTTATTGGTCCGATTCCCGAGCTCTTCCAGCTCCCCCGTGCAGACTGAGGGTGTAATGAATGAGAAGTTAATTGTCCTCTAATTTTAGGTTTATGGATTGAAAGTCTTGACTCTAGACATCTAGGAGAGGAGTGTCCCTTTATTCCCCAATTTAAGGATTTCAGGTCACCGAAGTGTTTTTGAGAATCACAAAAATTCTCCCTCGGTCCCTCCCGATTTGCCTTCCCACCCTCACAATGGGTCAATAAACTTAGCCCTATTGCATTTACGGTAGGGCACAGGAACATCGGGGATGCGTGTGCTTCTGCCAATCTCTGAACTCGGTTGGGGCCGAAGGATTTGGGAGCTCCGCTTCCTTTCGCCCCGCAACGCCTGACGCGCAAACAGAACGCACGATTCTGGAGGGTCCAGCTTGCGTGCCAGGCCTTCCTCGAGGGTCCGCTTTCCCGGGTTTTCCCGGCAGGGGCGGCGGCCCTCGGGGGCTTCCGAGGCCCCTCCCACGTCCCTCCGTCCTGCAGCGCCACCTCAGTCCAGAGGGGAGCTGTGCGCCCGGCTCCCAGCCGGACGGGTTTCGTAATCGCGTCGCGGCCGTTTCCGCCCTCAGCCAGCCGCACCTCTGCTTCTCCGCCCTCGGCTCCCCCACCTCGCCGAGGAGCGAGCCCGGGAACCCCACGCTGGCGGGCACCGAGCGGGAGCCCCCCACCAGCTGGCGCCGGACGCCTGGATGCCGGAGCAGAGCAGGTGAGGCCTCGGGCTCGGTCCCTCGGCCCGTGCGCCCCGCCTGCCCAGTCAGGCGGAGACGCACCGGATGCTGGGGGTGGGGGAGGAGGGCGTCCACGGCTGTCGAGATGCTGGGTCGGTGGCAAAAGGGGTGCGCCGGGTGAGGAGCCGTCCCTGTCCGTGCTCCGGCGGTGCGCAGGTGAGGCCAATGAAGAGCAGAAGGGAAGACGGGTCTGGAGTGTTGGGGGGAGACGGGAGGTGGGAAAAAGGTCTCTTTTGAGACTCACCAACCTCGGTGCTGCCGTGTGCCAGCAAACTGAAGCACAGCTGGTCCGGGAAGGTCTAAATCTGAGACAAGCAGCCACGCGAGACAGTGACAAAGTCGGAAGGATTCACAGAGAGGCCCAATCCTAGTTCAAACTTGGGAGGAGCAGAGAATTTCTGGGTAGAGTCCGGGGGTGGGCAGAAATGGAGCCTGTGTGACTGAACCTATTGGGCACGGGGAGTTGAGGGCCTAGCCCTGTTTCCTCTTAAGCCTCCACAAGACCTTTCCTGGGGAAGGGCACGGTTGGTGCTGGGGCAAATGCCTGTCACTTGACTGAAAGTTGGGGTCCACCCCCACTTCTCTAGAGCCCCGCAGCAGCCCTCATGTCTGGAGGTCTCCATAGGGGACCAGCTGCAGCCCTGGGCTCATAGCCAGAATTGCCCGCTCCATTTTCTCAATTCTCTTTCTCTCCAGCTGCTTCTTGTGAAGGCTTGTCAGGCAGCGGGGTAGGAGGCCTTGGGGCTGGAGTCAGCGGGACCGGGAGAACCGGTTTGGGGCTAGAACAGGACCAGGGAACTACCTCTACATCCTTCTCCCCTGGAGCCTTTCTCCCATCCATTCTCCTGCTCACTCCCCAGTAGTTTTAAAGCTCTTAAGCTCTCCTGTGACCTTGGTGTCTTTTCCAGCTCTGTATTTCACCCTTCCTATTTGGGAGTCAGGCCCAAGTCACAGCACTACTCGGCAGTCAGGGTATGGCCTTATACGATCTAATCCTGACCCCTCCTACTGTTTACCCAGCCCTCCCCCTTCATTGTGGAGTTGAAATAGTGGGTAGTGGGTTCAGGTGCCTCTTCTTCCTGGGCTGACCAGTTGAGGACTTCATTTTTCCTCAACCCACTCTTCTCTAGATATTTTAAAGGAGAGTGGCAGCCAATCACTCTTACTTCCTTTTCTGGCCTGTTCCCCTCCCCCCTCACCACCACCACCGCTTCACCCTGCCCGGTCTTCTCCTCACGCTGACCCCACCCCCAAGTTTCAGAGACCCTTATGTCCTGTGTCCTAGGGAATGGAATTTCCTGGTCACTTCTCACCATCATTGGTCGTTTCATGCCAAGTCCCACACACACACTTTCCCTCCACCCAGCCCTGGCCAGGTCGGTGGAAAAGGAACAGAAACGTCCTTGTTCCCTCCACTGCCCCTTTCCCTCTCTCCTCCTCCCCCTCTTCTCTCCTTTTCCCTCCCACCATCCACTTCTGTTCACTCAGCTTTGAGCAAGGAGGGTGTTGGGGGAGAGTCCAGTCTCAGTACAGCGTGTCTGGTAGTGTTGGGGGTTTCCTCTGATTCTTCATTGTTTTCTTCATCCCCTCCCACCCCCCCAACCCTTACCACCCAACACCACCACCAGCACGACAAACCCTGTGACTGACTGACTTCCCCACTGACCACAGCTCCCCTCTCTGGACAGCCGTGTTCTGACTTCCGCCCTGTCTCATTACTCCTCCCCTCAGTGGTGGGAAGGGCAGTAAGAGAAAGCCTGGACTCCCGGGTCCTTCCATCCCTCAGAAGCTGTGTCTCAGTGTTTGTGTGATCTCATCTCAAGGCTGAGAAGAAACCCTCTCAGTTCTTAGGTCAGTGTAGGGTGCCAGAGCATCAGGGTTCCAATCTTGGAGGGAGGGGAGATTCCTATTCAGGCGAAAGTGTAATGTGCATGAAACTGCCCTGTTTGGAATCTTTGAGGTTGCTTGTATTATAGGACTAGGGGAATGCAGTGAAAATAGAGGAAACCTATATGTGCCCTACCCTGGCTGGTAGTAATGAAGAGGGGAGGAAGTTCTTCCTTGGACACTAATGCTGTTGGAAAGTTCCTCGTGTTTGGTTGGCTGATGAAGATTGGGGGTGGAAGTGGTAAGGAGGGAAGAGAGAACAGGTCACAGCATGAGGGGAGGAGGGAGGGAGGGAGGCCCAGCCCCTATGGGGTGTGAGGCAGAGCAGAGTGGCACGACAGGACATGTGAAGAGGGTGGGGAGGCTGGAAAAAGATTCCTCATGGGACAAGATACCTGGCACGTGTACCTACAACCTGTGCACAGATGATCTCCACAAGACACACACGTGGACATAGAGTCATGGCATATATGTGCAAACAGAGGTGCACACAGAGGAGTGCATTGACATAGAACACAGATAAAACAGAGTGTAGGCAGCCCTCAGGAAGGATCTCAAGGTCAAGTAAGAAACTGTTAAATGGCTTCTGGGAGGGGTTGGATCTCAGTTGAGGGAAATGAGGAGGAACAAAGGCAGGGAACAGAGGGAAGAAATTCCTCACTGTAGAAAGTCTTAGGTTCCAACCTGCTGCAGTTGGTCACCTAGGACCTAGGTAGTCAAGGCCTCTCTTGGTCTTAAAGAAAATCTAGGTGTTCAGGGTAAGGTAAGCAAAAAGGGAGGGTCAGGGGTGGAGGCCTTGTTTGTGAGAACAGAAAACCACCATTTCCTCTTCAAAGTCACTTAAATGCCCCTCCCCTTCTGCCTTAAACCCAGGGAGAAGGGAGGTGGAGCTTGTAGCACCCCCAAACTTTGCTCATTTCTGCCAGTATCATTTAGTCCCCTCCCACCCTCTCTTCCTAGCTTCTAGCCCCCTTCCTCTCCCCTCCGTCGGTACCAGCAGCTACTGTTCTGTAACCCTTTGGTCCCCTTTTGGTTGTTTGCCTTTCTCTGAGAGTCAGACTTGGAGCTTCTTATGTTTGGAGAAGGTTGGTGTTGGTTGTAGGACTAGGGCCTTTACAGGGGAGCAAGAAGATATGGGCTCATCAGGAGCCTTCTCAAAGAGTGGGGGAGTGGATTTCTCATTAAAGTTTCTCCTCTCTTTACTTTTGCTCATCCAGGGTTCCAGGTCTGTGGAAGACGTAACCTTGTGCCTGCTTGCCCACCCCACTCTCCGACCTTGCTAGTCTCTCAGGGTCTGAGACACTGACCTTCACCACTCAGCTTAAGGGCTCCGAGGACGCCACTTTCTCTAGACCTCTCCAGCTGAGTAAACCCAGGGTGTTGTTACACCTGAGGGGAGTGAGGAGTGGGCGGTCAAGGCACCAGAGCAAGAGCCCTCTGGGGCCTCAGGCAGAGGCGTGAAACTGGAACCATCGGGGAACATGAGTGAATTTTGGCACAAACTGGGCTGCTGCGTGGTAGAGAAACCCCAGCCGGTAAGTCTCCCCCACCCCACCCCACCACACAGAAACCAGTTACCGTATATTGGGACATAGATACATCAGTCTAGGATCCGCCGTCTAAAAAGCACACTTCTTGCCGCCTTCTCTGTCAGGATAGCTTCTATGGCCTGGCAGGTGTGTACATGGAATAAAGGGGACTGGGTGATGGAGGAAGTGAACAGTCCTGGCTATCACTTCTTTTTCCTGTCCATTTTGAGTTGGACAGGGGTTGTAGGTGGAGCTTAATACCTGTCAGTTTTCCCCACTGTTTCCTCATCAGCCAGAGGTGACTTTGACATGTCCTTTCTTTGTCCATTGTTCACTCTGCAGGCCACTGCCCTTACCACCCTGCCTGTGTCCTCTCTCTGTTTATGTTGTTCTAACCTTGCCTTTCATACCCTAGTGATTTCCCTGTTATAATGCCGTATCCCCTTTCCCACTAGGCCCTTAGCTTTTCCCTTAGTGGTTTTCAACTCTTTTCCCTTCCTCCACTGTGATGTAACTCCCTGTCTCCTCCAATCAGAAGAAGAAGAGGAGACGGATTGACCGGACCATGATTGGGGAACCAATGAATTTTGTCCACCTGACTCACATTGGCTCTGGGGAGATGGGTGCTGGAGATGGACTTGCCATGGTAACAAGGGAATGGGGAGAGGTTGATATGAGGTTGTAGCTTAGAACTGCACCCCTTTTTGAAAGTTCAAGCTGGGGGCATAACAGAATACTTGATGGGAAGCAAGAAGCTAGGATTCTAGTCCTGGTCACAGGCTGCATAAATCTGAGATCTGGCATTTCAAGTCTCTGGCCTAGGCTCCCTCGTCTTTACACTTAGCAGATTTTTCTTCATTGGATAGAGGATATATATGTCTTAATAGTTACTTGGAGGGCTTTTTCCAAAAACCATAACCCTTCCTTCTATTAACTAAGAACTGCTGTCTCAGCGCCACAGTAAGTCATATTGTGGTTGGGAGTGTTGGGACAGGGAAAAGGCTGAGCACCTCTATCCTAAGTAATGTTTAATATGCATTTCTGCTCTCAAAATAAGGGAAATGGGCTTGGAGGTAGTGAAGGACTTTCACCAGTTACGAAACACAGATAAATATGGGAGAGTCCTTTGTGAGAGGATCTTACTAGTAAAAGACCCACTTTGTCCATCCTCATGAAGGTCATTGTGAAGGGAGGTATTGAGACTTCCCTTGGAGGAATAGAGATTAGTTTTAACCTTTTCAGATTGATTTTATTGTCAAGGAGGTGGGGTCAACCTCTTCCCTGGAGGGCACAGGGGAGCTCTTTTACTGTGCCATATGAAGATTTAGGAGAGGGTCTCACGTGTGCTTTTTCACAGACAGGTGCAGTTCAGGAGCAGATGAGATCCAAGGGAAACCGAGACAGACCGTGGAGCAATTCTAGGGGCTTGTAGCTCCAATACGACTGGTGAGTGATTAGAGAAACCCATCCAACACCTCCAGCCCCCTGCCTCAGAACCATGATCCTCTGTAAGAATGGGAAGTGAAGGGAGGAAGAAAATTAGAATGGAAGAATCAAAAAGGTAGGATCCAGAAAGGCAGAGAGAAAGGAATGTGTAGACAGATAGAAATAGAAAAAAAGAGCACACTATGGAAATAGTTAAGTGTGAACCAGGTGGTACCCTCTCCCTAAGGTTTTCTTCGAGGCTAATCTTCCTTCTTCTTTTCCTTTAATCAGGTTCCGCTGTGTGTCCAGCCTTCACCCTGTCCAGCCCAGAAGAGATGCTGGCCCTACCAGTTTCCCTCCTAGAATCAGTAACCCCAGGGCCCCTCTTTTCCCTATCTGTCTAATAGTGCCTCAAATGGCTTGGGGGCTGGACTCCCTCTACTCCCTCTGGCTGTAGCCCCTCCTGGAGATGGGGTCAAGGCAGCAGGACTGACCAAGTGACTACTGGTTGGCCAGAAGGAGCTCAGCTGAAGCCCTGGACACTATCAGATCTGAGATAGGAGTTTTCTGGGAACTTGGAATGAGTTCCCTTCTCCTGAATGACGGTCTAGGTGCCACATGTTTTTAAACTCTTAACCTGGAACTCCTTAAATGTGGTGGGTAGGTGAGATTACCAAAGCTGAAGCCGGCTTTGCTAAGAAGCTCCCTACCTCCCTGCCCTTATCTTTCGTCCTGGAATGAACTGAAGCAGACGTCAAGCAGGGTCTGGGAGGGTGGCCACTGGCTAGTCTACTTTTTCTCTTTAGATCTCAGACTTGAAACTCAGTCCCTCAGTATCTCTCTGCCAATACCAGGGTCTTTGTCTAGGTAGGCCTCTAACCCTATGTTTCTGTAGCATTGCTGGCTCCTAAGATCTTTCCTTTTTTTTAAAATTAATTAAAAATTCAATTTAAGATGAGTTCTCTTAATTACCCCCATCCTGCTACTACCTCTGTCCTTAACCCCATCCCTGTCAGGAGCCTTATTGTTTCCCACTGGATAAGAGTTAAGAGGTGGGTCTTAACCTGAAGTCTTGGGGATCTGCCTTCTGCCCACCTCCCTGCTGGCCTAGAGAGCAGGAAGAGGGATCTTGGAGAGAAACCCAGAATGCAGCAAAACTAGAAGTTACGTCTCAGGTTAGACTTATTGATCACTGAGAATGGGAGTGGTGGTGAAATAGGTTGAAAACAATCATCCTTGAGTGATCTTAAGATCCTCCGGCATGAGAGCCGGAAGACCTCTAGAGCAAGTTTTCTCAAACTAGGCACTTTTGACATTTTGGGCTGGATAATTCTTGGTAGTGAGGGACTGTCCTGTGCATTATAGGATGTTTAGCAGCGTACCTGGCCCATCCTAGTTATAACAACAAAAAATGTCCCCACATATGGCCAAATATCTCCGAGGGGGCAAAATCACCCCCAGCTGAGAGCCACTTGATATTTTTCTCTCAAGTGATTTCCACTTGTTCATCCTAAGCCTGAGTCATGGATGAACTAGGGCCCTGCGTAAAGTAGGCTCAATAGGGCTGCACATAATCTCCAAACACTTTATTCAGTGTGTTGCTTGTGCTTGCATGGGTTCATGTCTCTGTGATGGACGTGTACTGTGCTTCTCCATCCTTATGCTCTCTGGAGGAGGGGTTCCTGCAGTGTGGAGACATGAACAGGGTATGGGGGGACTGGGGAAGGGAGGGAGTGAAAAACAGTAGAGCCATAGATACCCCAGCTTATCCTCCCCAAATTTTAAGCTCTGTTTCTGTGCCCTAGTCCTAGAACCAGACACAAATAAGACTCAGGGAGTTTTGTCTGAAGACCAGGTCTCACTGCCCACCTGGCTGAAGAGTCTGCTTTAGGTGGGAAAATAATGTAGGAGTCGGGTCTTTAGGCATTTTCAGTTTTCTCAGGTGTTTTGTTCTGGCCCCTTCCTTGCAGGGTGATTAGGAGGGCAGAACAGATGAGCTCCTGCCTGGTCTGAGATGAGAAGGCAGGGATCTCATTAGCTCAGTAACAGGAAGAATCCTGTTTGATCGTAGTGGGGGTCAGGAATGTGAGAACTAAGATCCACTCTGCTGATTCCACCATCCATCCAGTTTGCCCCCACCTATAGTGACTGAGGTTCTAATTTCAGTGTACTTCCTGCAGATTTGTTTTTAAGTGTTTAAGCTTGGTTATAGAGATACATTCCCAATGTACCCAATTCCAGTCTAGCTAGTTGCTCTGAAAGTAGCTCATCTTGTTGGCCTAAAGTAGCTGAATAGCCTGAGGGTTATACTAGATCTAAAGGGTTAACAGGATAGGGCAGAAAGATGGGGGAACTCCTGGAATCTCCGGTCACCCTGATCTTGAGGCTTATTGTACTGCCTATTCTTTTTTTTTTTGGGCCACGCCACGCAGCACGCAGGATCTTAGTTCACGGACCAGGGATCGAACCCACGCCCCCTGCAGTGGAAGCAGGAGTCTTTAACCACTGGACCGCCAGGGAAGTCCCTCTACTGCCTATTCTTTAGACACAGTCTTTTCTTTGGTGCTCTCTCACCTTCAGCTACCTTCTCTAATGTGTATGCTACCATCACTTTAACAATATTTAGTGTGATGGGAATGGGTTTGAGAGTCATAATTTATATTAAAAATTGTTGGACTTTTAAATACATTTTCAAATAAAAAAAGTTGAAGCAAAATAGTCCCAGAGTAATCACTACAGGTGTGTGTTGGGTTAAAGGGTAGACGTGGTTAATGAAGGCAACTCCTAGAAAGTGGCTGTCATGGAATTTTGTGCCGACCTTACCCTTTCTGAGGAGAGAGGGCCAAGTGTCGTGAAGGCAAGGAGAAGATAACCATCACCTCCCAAGAGCTCAACTCATTGTTCTTCCTGTTCCTTTTTCTTGGCGTTCATCTGAGATTTTTCAAGTCTTTAAAGAAGTACTTGTTTAAAAACAACTTTGGAAATGAAGAAGATGAGCAATGTCAACATTTTTATCCTGGGGGATAGTGGAAGGGACCAAGCCAGATGCTGCTAGCTACACAGTTCAGTCTTAAGGTTCAAGAGATTTATGGTCTCCCCTCCTTCAGGTACCTCTGTAGAAAGACACAAGACCAAACAATGTTTTTTTTCTAGTTTTGTTTTTCTGTACTAAAAATATCCAGTGGGTGCTGGGATTGAATGGGGAGGAGAGGTTGAGATGCTGACACCTCCTCTTGTGGATGAAGTGGCCGTTACCTTCGATTTCTGTTTATCTGGGTAAGGAAACGAAATAGAGAAAAGGGAAAATATAACCACATCCATATTCTTTTCCCCTCCTTGCCTTATCTCCCTCTCCCCACAAACCCTCATTCCCTTAACACTGCTGCCCACTATTTATGCTTCTTTTTTATATTGAATAATGGTATTAGACACAATAAGGAGAAAGACAAAAACAGAAACTGACAGAATGACCAAGTATACATTTTATTGTCCTCCTTTCCCCAAAGGTCCTGTCATCCTGAGACCTTGAGAATATTTTATCAGGTCGATCAGGAACTTTGGTAGCTCTTTTGGTAAAGTAGAGGACAGTCACACAATAAGGAGAAAGACAAAAACAGAAACTGACAGAATGACCAAGTATACATTTTATTGTCCTTTCCCCAAAGGTCCTGTCATCCTGAGACCTTGAGAATATTTTATCAGGTCGATCAGGAACTTTGGTAGCTCTTTTGGTAAAGTAGAGGACAGTTCTTCCCTGAGAATTCTTAAATTTCTGGGAATAATCCCAGGAGGACAGTTCTTTGGGGGTTAGTGGTTAAGAGCATCGGCACTAGTGTCCAACAAACCTCGTTTAAATCCTTCTGTGACTCCGCTACTTAACTTTGTAAACCCCGTTTCTTTATCTGTAAAGTGGGAATAATAATACCATAGTGTTGTTGTGAGGACTGATCCAGGTAGAGTGCACATAAGACCTCAGATACTGGCAGCTGTTACTGTTAAGCTGCGTTAATAAGCTGAAAACTGAAATCTTCCACATCCATCAACTATCTCCACATCAAGCGTTCTTTATATATCTGCAATCTTAACAGTTTGGTCAATAATCATCTAATGACCTACATGTTGCCTAATAGCCAAACAGTAGTTGCTCAAGAAATGATAGGTGGAATCAATGGCTAACAACAATGTGAATAATGAATGCATTTTATGAATCAATAACCAAACATAAGCAATAGTTCACACAGACACACTGGCTGGCTTAGCAACAGGGTTCTGGATATCAGGACTTTTCAGATGCCTTAACAAAGATGCTGGCTGATCACTAAACACTTACTGGTTGCATCTCTGTGAACACTGCAGACAGGCTGTTCCAAATATCCTCCAGCCCAGTCCTGACCCTTTTCCAAAAAGCAAGAGCTGGGCTGGGCCTGAGACTGGGGCTGAAGGGGGTGGGTCTGAGTTGGCTGACTAGTGGGAGAAGAGGAGTAGTGGTGGCCCTGGTGGTGGTCTGAGTGGTGCAGCTGGTGTCAGGACAGAGACCTGCATCGAGGGGGCACTCCTCCCGCTCGCGGTTGCAGGGGCATTGGTGGTAGGTGCAAGGCCGGTGCTCAGTGTGGGGTTGGCTCAGCGCCCCAACTCGCAGGTGCCCCGAAAGGCCACGCGGTTTCCCGGCCCAGGTCCGGCTCATGGTGCCGGACTTGCAGTGGCAGTGCCACGGGCCCCAGGGCATCAGCACCAGCCGCAGATCCTCGGGAGCTGGCATGGCTGTGGGCGAGGGCGGTGGCCACTGGTTCAGGGTGGACCGTGCTGTTGACCACTGGTTCAGGGTAGTGTCGGAGAGCAGCTGGTCCACATTAGCCTTCCAGGTGGAGGGCCGCTGGCTTGAACTCATCCTGATTTCGGAATCCTGGTCATTCGCTGTAAACCCTGGGCTAGGCCCCCCAGGTGTACGCGAAGTCGTATTGTGAGTCTCCAACTCGGTGTTATTCTTTCTAGTGTAAATCACAACCCCCTCTTCCAAAGACCCATCCTCCTCCGCCGACAATCGGGACCTGCTACCTGTGGACACCGTGGAGGCCAAGAGCTCGGCAGCGGCCGGGCCTGCCAGGCTGTCGGCCACAGCCACGACGTCGTCCTCATCCTCCATGTTACCCTCATCTTCTGGGAAACAACACTCCGGGTGCTCCGGGCGGTGGTCCGGTAGCTGCGGGTCATAGGGCCCCCGAAGCGGAAACTGTCCCGCGGTCGAAGTCAGGCCTTCGACCCCCGCCGCCCGGGGCCCCAGACTCAGCAGCAGGGCCCAGAGCAGCGCGCCAGCAGCGGGGACCATGGGGCTGGGCGGTGTGGGGCTGGGAGGGAGGCCAGTGAGGAAGGCCGGGGCTCCCACCTTCTCTCCCTCCCTTCTGCTCTCGACCCACCGGGTCGTTAGAACCTAGGCCCGCGGGGGAGGGGAGGAGGGCTCTGACGCGCGCGCCACGCCCCTCCCCCAGGCCCTTTCCCCGCGAATCAGCTCCGGCAGGCCCAGGGGCTCAGCTGAAAATCCCAGGGAACCTCTGCAGCAAGAACTCCTGTGCCAGAACTGACAGACGGATTGTGATGTA